ATGATGATGATGATGATGATGATGATGATGATGATGATGATGATGATGATGATGATGATGATGATGATGATGATGATGATGATGATGGTTATGATGATGCTGATGATGCTGATGATGATGATGATGATGATGATACTACTGCTTCTGACCAGGAGGAGGAGGAGGAGGAGGAGGAGGACGAGGACGAGGACGAGGATGAGGAGAAGGAGGAGGAAGAGGAGGAGGAGGAGGAGGATGATGACGGAACAGGGGATGAATTGGGGTTTGGGGTGGGGGGAGGAGGAGAAGAAGGAGAGGGAGGAGGAGGAGGAGGAGGAGGACGAGGAGGAGGAGGAGGAGGAGAAGGCGGGGAAGGATGGGGGATGGGGGAAGATGAACGGGGGAGGAATGAGGGGGAGGAGGAGGAGGAGTCAGGAGTCAGGAGTCCCTGGCCGAAGTCCGTTACCGTACTCATGATGGCCCCAAATGGGTCTTTCTGGCAAGCTCAGCCTCACTGAAAACCTTGGGAAAGAGGTTCCGCTGAATTCGGTCACGACACGCAGGACTCGCAGCGCTCTGTGGGAGGGGTGACCCCACCCCGCAGCAGCAGTGTTCACCCTCGCCGCCCCCCCCCAGGAAGACCTCGAGGGAACCGTCAGTCGCAACTGACTCGAAACACTCGGTGGATCCCCGCGCTCGGACGGGGGACAACGCCGCAGTGCCTCGACAACGGCCAGCAGCGACGCCCCGATTCATCCGAGGCGTGGGAGGACGCCACAACGGAAACAGTATCGGCGGATGGCCTCTGACATCCAATGCTGGCCGCGCGCAGAGCGGGGTTCGGGGGAAGGGGGGAAGGCTTCAAGAAGCACTCTGCTTCACATAAGGCGCGGGCCTCCTCCAGAGTTGCAAGGCCGGCGCCTTGGAAGAAGCAGCCCCCTTGTGCGCGCCGCCAGTAATGGCCGGCACAGGACACGGAGGGGGAGGGGCACCGGCAGCAGGCGCAGGATCGCCACGGCCCTCGGCCCACGGCGAGGCTTCCCTCTCCTCCTTCGCCGGCCGCCCTCGGCGGCCAGCTCGTGTGCTCGCTTTTCCCTCTTGGCAGCGAGCGCGTCGAGGGTGGCTCGCAGAGGGCGGGTTCAGACTGCATCCCACGTTGACGAGCGGGCTGGCGGTGCCAGGCGAGGCCGCGGCGACGTCATGTATGGCCTCCTTTGCTCCAATTACGTAGGGTGGCTCCCATCAGGTTGTGTGCAGATGCTATGTATCCGTAAGGGCTTCGCCCCCTGCCACCGGCCCCCTCTATCAGAACGGGCTGTGTCAGAGCTATGCTGGAATTCCTTTGCGCCGTTGCGAGACAGTTTCTGTCGGAACCTCCTACGACGAGGGCGGTTGGTAAGCGGCAGACTCAGGTTCAGAACGTATTGTTGAAATCCGCATTGTTTTCTCGAGTTCTCTTTCGGGTCATGTATTGGAGCAGCGATTCGGGGCTGCTGCAGGCTACGTTGGGCAACGTCGCGTGGCTTTGGCTGCCCTCTTGGGAATGCCTCTTGGAAGCCCGTTGGGGCGGCTTGGCAGCCACTTGGAGCGCTCTTTCGGCCTCGCGGGGCTGAAAGCTCAAATCTCTAATCTCTAATTCGTGGTCCCGCTTGGGACCTCCCTTGGTGCCATCTTCAGGAGTTCTTGGGCCGTCTTGGGTGTTCCTGAGCTGTCCTGGTGCCCTGTGGGGCCATCTTGGGGCTCTCCTGGAGGCTTCTTGGGCCGTCTTGGGGCGGTCTTGGCCTCGACGGCGCGAATACTGTGTGAGATTTGCTGCAGATCATGGCCTCGAAGGCGAGAATCTGTGGTAATGCACGAGGGATCGTAGCCTCGAAGGCGAGACTGCCGTGTAATTTACTAGGGTTTATGGCCCTGGGGGCGCGAATATTGTATAATTTTCAAGGGTTCACTTGATAGTAGGAAGCAGAACGTAGAGCCATCACATCGGCAACTTGAAACTGCAACTGGTACAGGGAGCAGCAAACCTTCGCCCTACAGCCTGGTGGCTCCACAAGGAAGCCAGCGTATCTTCTCATTGCCCCCGTGCGGTCGTAGAAAAGAATATCCTCTGCTAAGCCTCCCGGCCTGGAGTCTGACGCTCTGGGGCAAGCGACGGCAAGCTGCACCTTCGGCCGCCATGATGTCGGCCGCCTCGTTGCCTCGGACAAGCCAAGCCTGCCCTTTACCGGCAATCACATCAGCAGCCGAGAGACGGGAATGCGAGATGAATACAACAACACGACCTCGTTCCCCCTCGGGCCAACTGCTGACCAATGAGACCCCAGAGGTGGCACCGGATCACGCCCGTTTTGCTAGCCATCAAAAAGTGCCACCTCAAAGAACACAGTATGCTGGGCACGAGGTAGCACTCCAGAGATACTGGACAACCACTCCATCTCGTTATCGTTGTCATAGTGCGCTATCCCAGCAACAACACGGCGGATTCGCGACTTTGGAGTCTTCTCCACCGCTGGAATTGCCG